TTTATATACAAAATTCATAAAGTTCATATACATTGTTTTTCACACCAGACCTTCCCCCTTTCCTTTACCAATTCCTCCCTCCATGCATCAAATTGTGCTATCATCTTAAACTCAAATGCAGAACTTAATTTTCTTAAGATTTCTAATTATACATTTTTTTCTGCCTTTCTTTGGTTAAGGTACACCATGAATGATCTACAAGTCTTCAGGTCTTCAGAAAACTGGACTTACATCTGGAGTTTCAATGACCCAAACCATGATTGGTACTCAGACATTAACATCACCTATGTGAATTATTATCTTCACCAGCCTCAAGTAGCTGCAGTCTTCATTATTTCCTACTTTCTGATCTTTCTCCTGTGCATGCTGGGAAATACAATGGTTTGCTTTATTGTAATGAGGAACAAACACATGCACACAGTTACCAATCTCTTCATCTTGAACCTGGCAATAAGTGATCTATTAGTTGGCATATTCTGTATGCCAATAACACTGCTGGATAATATCATAGCAGGTATGTTGAATTATGTGTAGAGTAAAGGCAATATGATAAAATTACTTTTTCATTTCTCTGAATCCACTGCAGAGATATTAATTTATTAATTCATTAACTTACTCATATAGCAAATATTTATCTATTTGTAATCACTGGTCTCATAAGGTTAACATAAAATGAGAAAGGATAAATTTCAATAAATAAGCAAAATTATAACTTGAGGGTTTACTGAAAATTATCAGTACTTCTTATGTAAGTCTTGAATTAGCACAGTTCAAGAATAGTATGATATTATAGAAATATCCATAAGCAACTAAGGGCTATAAAAGCTAGTGAAGTGTCAGTCACATATTAATTGATGCATCTTCAATCCAGCATACATACTAATATAGGCTCTCTCTGTGTGTAGCTAAAGGAGACCTGGGGGTGTATTGGGTTACTTGTTGAGCTATTAACATAAAAAAAGATCAGAGGTCAAATTCACCAGCCTCCCTGAAGGAGAAAGATAAGGAGCTTACTCTCTTTAAAATTTACAGCCTCTTAGAATGCTGATGTAATTTGCCATGAGTCAGACGCAAAAGCAAGTTTGTGTTTTTTTTATAGCTGGATAGGGGGTCCTTCAATAGTTTTTCTTGCCCCAGTGATTTTCTAATCAAATGGTAACTTCATAATATTGATCTCCAAAATACTGCCCAGCCTTTGTTGCCTCTTTTTATTTGTTCTAGAGTCATCCAGACTCATAGATATCCCTGTATGCAGAGTAGAACCCCATCTTTTGGAAGGAGATGGTCAGATGGGCTTCCAGAGGTAATTCTGGGTAAATTTTAGAGGCAGGAGTCCCAGAGATGCCTTTTTTACTAAAATCTACCAACTTTCTTCAGGTGGAATCTGACTTTTAGCACCCTACAACCTGATTTCCAGGAGTAAAAATAAAAGGACTGTCAATATTTCACCAATAAATCTTTACTTTCAGCAGAGGAAACATGCTATCCTTCTTCCATGGACTAGATGGAGGATCTGATTATCTAACATATAACACCCTGCACCCTCAGGGACCCTCATTGTTGTTGTTCTGTGCCATCAAATTGGAACTAACTCACGGCTGACTTTCCTATGAGTCTTCAGAGGCTGTAAATTGTGTGGGAGGAGATTCCTCATCTTTCTTCCTTGAAGAAGCTTGTGGATTCAAACCATGTGCCTTAGAGTTGGCAGTGTAACTTCTTACTATTAGCCTACCAGAGTTCCTTTAAGATTCTTTTTGTTTATTTGCTTTCTTTCTGTTTTTTAAAAATTTATTTTAATGAAAGTTTACAGAGACTTTGGATTTCAGTTCATTCAGAGCTGCATACTTTCCTCCCTGGCCCAAGCCCCCAGGTTTTACTTCTCTTTGAAAAAAGAAAGAAAGAAAGAAAAAGAAAAAAAGAGAAAGAGAGAGAGAAAGAAAGAAAGAAAGAAAGAAAGAAAGAAAGAAAGAAAGAAAACTCATTGTTATACTCTCCCTGCTGCCAGTCCATCTCACTCTGCAGCTTTCATTCTAGTCTCTTGTCATGACAATAATACCTAATCATACATCCATCCTAAGCAGTTCTCTCCCTCATCTGTTTCAATGTAGTATACATTATTTATCCCCTCGTAGTTTCTCCCTAACTCTGATGTCAGTTCTGCTTTACAAAAGTGGCACTATGCAGTATTTGTCCTTTTGTGACTGAGGTATTTCACTTAGCATAATGTCCTTCAGGGTCACTCATTTTGTATACTTCATGAGTTCCTTGTTTTTCAATGCAACATAGTATTCCATTGTGTGAATATACCAAAGCTTTCTAGCCATTCATTGTTGATAGGCACTTGGGTTATTTCCAACTCTTTGCTATTGTGAATAAAGCTGCAATAAACATGGGTGACCATATATTTGCTGGGGTGGCAGTTCTGGTTTCTTCTGAGTTTTTTAGATTTTAATAAGCATGTTCTGACTTAGTTAATAAAACATAAATTCGTTAATAAGTAGAGTCAATACATCAATACCCCAATTTTACCTGAGAAGAAATGAAACATTAACAGCATCTTGAAAACTTCCAGAGCAGTAAAATGAACCTTATCTTATATCCTTCTCATGTCAGTGTTGTTGTGTACTGTCGAATCGGAGCCAACCCATAACTTATCCTTCTGAGGATTTATAGAGTCAGTTAATCACAAGGGAGGAGATCGCTCAACTTCTGTGGGGCAGCTGGTGTTCTTTCACTGTGTGCCTTTTGGATTGCCACACATCTTCTTGATGCTAGGCCATCTGTGTTCTCTAGAACACAAAATTAGTTTCCTAAAGGAAAGGAAAATAAGCTACTTTTTGGAGATTGTTTCTGCAGTAGAGGCCAAACAGAGTCCAGTGTACCTGTCGTAACAGTCATGTGTGACCTAAAATCTATGTAGTCGTTTGCTTTTTATAAGTACATATAATTCAGAAAATATTTATCATGGGTGTACATTTTCGCACAAAAAGGTGAAAGAATGAATATCAAGTATTATTGATGCTTCCAGGAAATGTACTTTGCCCAGAAAAGTCACAACCATTAGTCTTTCAATCATTGTAGTTGTTATGTGCTTCTGAAGAGGAACTGACTCAAGGAAGACCCTCCAGAAGGTTTTAGAGGCTTTAAATCGCATGGGAGTGGACGGTCTGTCTTTCTCCTTTGTAGCAGCCGGTGGATTTGAACTTCCTACCCTTGATTTGGCAGTGCAACTTCTTACCCATGAGGCCACCAGTTTTCCTTTTCAAGCATATTCATAATTTCATTCAATAATTTAATTATTACTATAAATACTATTTTTGCATCTATATACTTCTCCTCTTTATTTCTATCCCCCCAAAACAGCTGCTTACAGTTTGTTTGTCTTTTTTCTATTTGGATAGTTACTTCCATATTTCTAAATAACACATTTTCAATATTATTTTATCTTAAAGAGAAGTTATCAGTTTAGTTTATACAATCATCCAAGGATATTTATACTTAATTATATCTTCTTGAATTATCCAAAAATTACATATCATGTTTTTGTTAAGAAATATTCATGTTATACATTCCCATGGCTATCTGTATCTTGTTGTTGTGTACCGGGAAGTCAGAACCAGCCCACAGCTGACCCTCCAGTGGGTTTTCAGAGGCAGTTAATCACACAGGAGGAATTTGCCCATCTTTCTCCCATGGAGCAGCAGGTAGATTCAAACTGCGTGCCTTTGGTTTGCAGCACAGCTTCTTCTAGGAGACCAGAGCTTCCTGATAATCCATGGTATTACGGTGTAAAATACTTTCCCTAAGTTAATAAATGTTTCATGTTTTTATTTGCTTAGTTTTAAGTGTATATTTATCATAACTAATATGACCTCAAAAATCTTTTAGGAGTGCTAATCTCCTCACAACTCTTTTCAACACATTAAGTAACCTGTAAATTGCAGACTACTTCAATTCAATACTTCTTTTCAAGTTATTCTCTGCTTTCTTTTTCTTCTTTTGCCACATTCCTCCCAAAGCCTATTTTAGAATATCCCATTTGTGGATATTATCATTTCTCTTTGCTTTTTGGTACCGACTCCTCTGTTTCTTGATTTCAAAGTCTTTGGGATCTTTTTTGTTTTCATTTTCTTGACTTCTTGAAATAGAACGTACTATTATTGTTGTTGTTGTGGTGTACCTTCGAGTCACAATCGACCTATAGCTGACCCTCTGGCAGGTTTTCAGAGGCAGTTAACCCACTTGAGGAGATTGCCCACTCTTCTCCGGCAGGCGTTAGTGGCTTGAACAGCTTGCCTTGGGGTTTGCAGTCCAGCTTCTTGCCACTAGACCACCAGAGCGCCCTTACGCTCACTAAGTTAAAACTTTTTGTGATCTTACATGTCTGAAAATATTTACTATAATTTCGTTTATTACTATAACTAGCATAATCACCTGGTAACTATGACTGAAGGTTTGAGCATATGCAAAAGGTGCTTTGCAAGAAAAGTTTGGTGATCTGCCTCTGAAAACTCAACCATTGAAAGCTATGGAGTATAGTTCTGCACTGACACACAGGATTACCATGAGTCAGAACTGACTTGATAGCTATTGTGTGTTGTTTTCTTTTATTTGCTTGTTTTTAATATAAAATTCTAGGTTGGAAATACCTTCCAACAGAAGAATTGCCCATTATCTCATCTTTTCTTGTTTGCCTCTTACTATTAAATTTTCTGAGATATTTATTCATCTTTTCCTTCTAACCTTCCTCCATCCTTCTAACCTGAGGTCTTTATTTTATTTAAATTCTCTGAGAAATTTTTGTTTGATACCTTTTAGTCCTAATACTATTATGCTTAATTTCATTGAATGCTGCTGTTTTGATCAGGTGCCATGAAACCAGTTCTGACTCACTGTGATCTTATAACATAACAGAAGAAAACACTGGCTGCTCTTGGGCCATCCTAACCATTACTCTTAACATTGGTTTTTGCCCTATGTTATAGCCACTGTATGAATTCATCTCATTGAAGATCTTCCACTCTTCGACCTTTACCAAACACGATCTCCTTCTCCAGCACATCTTTATATCACTAATAAAAAATAAATATCATTAATCATTGATGTTAGTATTTATGTCCTTTTTATTGTCATGTGAGTTAATATTTATAGAGAAAATTGATTTTCTATCCAACAATTCATACGCGTTTTGTTTTGTGACAATGATTTTCAACCCCTACAAAGTAATATCATTCTTCTTGTGTATACCTTCCTGGGTTTACCATTTCCATTCACCCTTTTTCCTATCCCTTACTGAAAGCTAAACTTTATCCACAAACAAATGTTGCACTTTTAAGCTTGTACAGTTGAGTGTGCACAGGAGTGCACATTTCCGTAGTGTTATTATTCATTTCATAGCCCTAGCATTTGATGAAAAAGTAAGCTACATGAATGTGTTCATTTCCAGGTTTGAAGATAATCTAAAAGCCTTAGTGGGGAGGAGAGTGTTCCATGAGTCTTTATGGCAAGTAAACTTAGTCTTATATATTATTTTTAATATTTCCATGTTTATTTCTCATTCTATCCAAAACCTCCTAATTTTAATCCTTTGTAGAGCACTTAATAGTGATAGCTGGGTACCATCTCATTCTTCTGGTCTCAGGGTTGCAGACGTTACTGTACATGCAGTCCATAAGCTCTTTGGACAAATCTGTTACTTTATTTATTTTTTTTTAATTATCTTTACTCTTCTTTCTTCCAGACAGGAAGAAACCTTTATTTACAGATGAGATGGCTTCTCAGAAGCTTTTGAGACCCTATTTGCAACTCACTTAAGTAGGATATAATTACCAATCGATATTGGTGTACCCCAAGACTATGATTATGAGCCTCTAGGCCTAGTGATTCATTACCTAAAGATGTTTAGCTATGGCAAAGACATTTTCTTTTTTTTTTTTCAATTTTTTGCAAAACTTTATTCCTGTGAGTGTGCTCCCATTAGCCTTCTCACTTATATTCAGGTTGAGTGGATATTTGTATATTCATGGTCTCACTGTTATTGTAGGTTTGTGTATATAATAGTTTACCTTTATTGATTTTAACTCTACTTTTCATGTTCATTTAACCAAGTTGTATCTTTATGTATCGTTCTGACAGCCTTAGCTTTTATTCATATATACTGAGATAATTTCCACGTGAAATGTTGATAATAGGTTTATTTGGGGGAAAATCGCAAGCTATCTTTTGTAATAAGATTTCAAAATAACTAACTGGTGGTTGTTGTGATGTTAAACACTGTGACTCTGATGTGTCAAATGTGATAATGGTTACCCATGGTGGAAAGTGTTTGGTGGAATTCTCTAAATAAAACAAGCTTGAAAGCAGGAATGGCGTCCACTTCTGAAATAGCTTGCCTCCAGAAACTCTATGAATGTGCAGAAGGGATTAAAGTTATACAAGTGTTCAAGGCTTTTGTTCATAGGGTCACTATGAATTGTCTATGACTCAACGGCACTTAACAACAACAGTAATATTTATCATTTATATCTGAGAAAATGAGAATAATTCCCTTAGGAGCTTCATTACTTTCTATGCAGTGGATATGTCTTCACTTAATTCCTGTACTTACTACCCCTGCACCTGCTGCCTCATAGTCCGTATCTTCTGGGCTCACACCTCCCCAGAGACTAAACTTCCCTTCAGCTTCCGTGGAAGGAAAAGTCAGGGCCATCTGATTGTGCATATACAGAATTTATACCAGTCATCTACTTTTGCCAACTTCACATTCTCTATAGAGCAATTGTTTTACTTCTTGACATCCCCTAAAACTGACTTAAATCAAGTAATACAATTACCATTTGTCTAACTACTTGGAAATCTCCAGCATTTTTATTTTCCATTACCCTGTCTCACTTTTCTTTGTAGATTTATGTTATTTTATTCCTACACTCTTTTTAGCAGAAGGGAGTTAAATGCAGCCCATGTTTATTTTTTCACGTTCAAGCAAATGTCTATACAAACTCTTTTTTTTTTTTAGAATTCTTTTTTTTCTATATTTTATTAATTTTCATAAACATTTACAGAGATTTTGGGTTTCCATTCATTCCTTGTTGCACTATTCTCTCTACCCTCCTCCCATTTTGTTCTTATCCAAATGCCGAGTGCTTGTCAAAGCCAGTTCTGATTAATCTTCTTTGTCAGTGTGTCCTTTGCCATTCCCTATCACTCCTCCCTGAGAGAGACTTCACCCTGAGTCGTAAGGAAAAGGGGATGGCGTATTCTCTTAGCTACTTCCGCTGAAAAGGGACGCTGTGGATTTCAGGGTGAAGATCTTCTCTCACTACTCTAAAGGGCCCCTTTGGCAGTAGGAAACACATAGACTATTATGGAGATTGATTTTGGGATTTAGATGCACTCTTATTGATTGTGCTTGGCCGTACATGTTCATATCCTTGAAGATGTATCATGGGGGTGTTGCAACCTAGAAGGCACAAATTTGACTAACAAGTTATAAGTACATGAGTCCAAAAATTATGGAAAAGTAAAAGAAAAGATTCTTTCATTGTTTTACAAACCCTCCCCCAGGTCCCCTCCACTATGTAGCCCTCGCTCTAGTCTCCTGTGATGACAGAAATACCTAGTTATATATCTCCTTTAAACAGTTTTCTCCCTCCTCTGTTTCAGTGCAGTATACATTATTGAACCCATCTTACTCAGTCTCTCCCCAACAGTGGCATCATGTAATATTTGTCCTTTTGTGACTGGGATATTTCACTCAGCATAATGTTCTCCAGAGTCAACCATTTTGAATAATATTGCATGAATTCCTTGTTTTTTAATGCAGCATAGTATTCCATTGTGCGAATATACCACAGCTTCTCTAGCCATTCCTTTGTTGATGGGCACTTAGCTTGTCTTAATAGCATTTATGCTGGAGAAAGGAAATAACATGCAAACTTACTGAAGAACTAGGAAGACAGTGTACTCATTCTTATTTGTTTCCATTAAGCAGTATCATAAGCTAATCTGTATATCTACTATACTTTCATTTCAGCTATAATTTGATAATTTATATGAAGTATCTGGGATTAAATAAGGGTAATTCGATTTGTAAGGAGAAGTATGACAGCATATGTCTTAAAAGAAAAATATTTAAAATCTTTGATGAATACATATGTTTGAAAGAGAATTAGAATATTTGCTATTAATGGGATTTTGTTATTTTTAGCATGTAATTGTTTAGGATATCAAACAGCTACAATATTTTACTGATTTATTTTTAAATTTTCTAATAAATAGGATAGGACAGGATTCAGATCTGTTATCCATAGTGTCTTAATGCATCGTGTTCAACTCAACAGCACCTAACAACAAGAAGAAGTAAATGTTTAGTTAAGAAGTAACTATAATTGTTTACTCTTGTTCATTCAAAGTACTATTAATTCTATAAATAAGTCTATGACAAAGTTTCATAGTATATTTAAATATTTTATTTATTCTGTATGTAACATCTTATTCCTTATAATTTATGGAGTTCATTTCCAAATCAGAAAATCAATATATGCCTTTTTTATTCATTTAAATGACACTACTACTTGTCGATTGTACACTGAAGTCACACTTTGTGGATTGTAATAGTTAGTTATGATACTAATTAGCTTGTGGCAAAGTATGTAGTATCTATTCCCTTTATCCCTTTTCCAAATCTTGTAAAGAGTAGTAGAATCTACTTGAAAACTTACGTGGATTAAATATGTTAATAGACATAAGCGCTTGGCATGTAGTATCTATTATATAAATATTGGCATTGGTATCATTAGTCAAATAACATCAATGTACTGACCAACAGAACTCTGGTAGTATAAGTCAAAATAATACAAAACAGTGATTGCTTTATAATTATTTTAGAAAAAGTCAGATTAGTCTGGATTTCACACCTTTCTGTTCATATATTTAGTGAGATAGGAGATAGGAAAGAACTATTTTTATGCATGCTGATTGTTCTATTTACCTTTCAGGATGGCCATTTGGAAACACAATGTGCAAAATCAGTGGATTGGTCCAAGGAATTTCAGTTGCAGCTTCAGTTTTTACTTTAGTAGCAATAGCAGTGGATAGGTAAGTAAGTGCCAGACTCCAAATCTGGAAAAATGAGCATGTCTGAAACTAACCATTTAATCAGAAAAAAAGTTACTTAATTACACTTAGCTTCTGGAAATTATATCTGTACTCATTACCATTTTAAGAGGAAAGCATTAGCCCTTTAAATATCCATTACCTAAAAAATTAAAAGCAATAGAATATATATTATTTTAATATTGAATAATTAGAGAGGGTACAATTTTATTGCTTTTATACTAGATCTAGAATTTTCTAATGATGAAAATACACATGAACTTAAATACATATTAATTATATCCAGATATTAATATTAAAATTCATTCATATATTTATTTATACTCTTAGTTGAGAGCTTATGATGTAGTGCTGGTAGGTTAGTGGCAAGGAATTGCACTGTAGGGATTCAGAATCCTTGAAGATTGGCTTTTCTAGCCATTGTTTTAGCCATTGAGGGGGCATAGTTTCTAACTACCTTAACTGTGGACACATGGTCTTATAAGTCATCAACAGTTTGGAACCAATAGAAGAGAGCAGAGTATTTCCCACACTGTAAAAGAATGTGGTGATGGTGATACAGAGATTGTAGCACTGCTGTGGAGAAACTGTGGCAAGGTGTAACTATAGGAACCCTGGAGTTAAAGGCCACAGTTAAAGGTTTTGATTGCTGAATGATTGAAAGAAAAGCTGACTTTTATTTGCTGAGGTAAAGACCACAGTTACCAGGTTTACTAGATGAATGATTGAAGGAAAAGCTGACTTAGAACTGTTCTGAGATTAAATTTGCTGGACAACTGAGGAAACCAGAGGCTTCTTGTATTTGTGCTGCTGAACAGAACCTGTTCTTGTTATGTGCAGTTGAGTCACCTGCAACTCATAGCAACCCTATGTACAATGGCACCAAACCCTGCTCTATCTTGTACCAGTCTCTTAGTCTCTGACACACCTAACCCTATTACCCTGGTCACTGAATCAATCCATCTCATTAAGGATCTTCTTCTGCGCTGTCCCTCCATCCTTCCAAGCATGATGTCCCTCTCTAAAGACTGGTCCCTCCTTTCAACATTTCCAAAGTACGTCAGATAGAGCTTCAGAATCTTTCCTCCAAGGAGCAGCCAGGTTTCACCCTCTCCAGGAGGAATTCATTTGTTCTCCTAGCAGTCCATGGTATAGTCAATACTCTTCTCCAGCACCAAAGCTCAAAGGCATCAACTGTCCTTCTATCATCCCTAGTCATTGTCCAGCTCTCTGATGCATAGCAATTGATTGCAAAGGCCATGCCCTGTTCATGTGCACCTTAGTCTCTAGACTGACAATGTTGTTCTTTAGTATTTTGGAAAGGTCTCTGACAGCAGACTTTCCCAATACAATTAATCTTTTAATTTCTTGGCTTTTAATTTCCAAGAGTGTTAACGGTGGAGCCAAGCAAACTAAAGCTGTTAACAATCTCAATCTCTTCACTATCTATCATAATGCTGCAAATAGGCCCAGTGATGAGAATTGTTGAATCTGAACTTCCAATAATTTAGCAATTGTGCCTTGTTAATCTCGTTTGAGACTGGTGGACTATATCTAGACTTGCAATGTGAGAGATTCTTTGCCTCCTCCACTCTGCAACCTATTTCCCTAATAAATAAACCCCACAACTGTGAGTAAAGTCTGAGTCTTTCAATGAACATTGGATATAATGATTGGTAAAAATAGGGGCAAGAGCATGTGAGGTGGAGTGTTAAATTATGTACAATTTGTATGTTGTTAAGACATTATTGATTGGGGCAATTCCCCTTTATAAGATGGGTAGAACTCAACCTCCACCACCCTCACATTGCATCTACTTATTTCACACATTTCTAACCTAAAGGCACGTAATTTTAATCCAGCATTTCCACTGCAGTGGAAAGACAATCTCCTCCCATGTGATTCACTGATTCTGTGTTTTCAGGTCAGCTAAGGGTCATTTCTGGCTCCATGGTACTCAACAACAACAGTCTGGCCTTAAACTAAGATATTTCTAAATAAATTAGATAAAGTATTATTCAGGAAATCCACAACTTGGTATAGATAGTCATAAGTAATGTATAATCATAAATAATGTTCTTAAATAAAGATCTAGGGCATAATATCCTTATGGAAGAGAGTGATCAATTCTACAGGTCAGGAAAGAGAATGATAGGTTTCCAAACGAAGGGGCACTTTTCTAAATCTTAATAGATCAGAAATTTACCTGGAAAAACTCTCAGGAAAGGGCATCACTTAAGAGAGTGACCTTCATAATAGTAGAACATCTATATATAAAATAGGAAAGAGCAAGAAAAGAGGAAAGATGTGAAATAAAAGAACACTTGTCCAGAGAATTGCAGAGACAACTTTCCTCCACCATGGAAAGGTCGTAAGGTCAGAAAACAAGGGGTGGATTTTTTTTAATGGACTTATCTGCCATATATATGTGCCATATATGTGTGCCATTTATATATATATATATATATATATATACACATATATCTGTAGCCTACAATATGGATTGAGGCTCAATGTCAAGAAGACAAAGATTCTCACCACTGGACCAATTGGCAGCATCAGGATGGATGGTGAAGAGATTGAGATTGTACACAGCTTTAGTTTGCTTGCCTCCATAGTCAACAGTCTTGGCACCAACAGCCAGGAAATTAAAAGGTGAATTGCCATGGGAAAGTCTGCTCTTAGGGACCTCTCCAAAGTACTGAAGAGCAATGGTGTCTCTCTGGAGACTAAGGTGCGTCTGATACAGGCCATGGTCTTCGCAATCACTTGTTGTGCATCAGAGAGTTGGACAATGACCAAGGAGGATAGAAGGAGAATTGATGCCTTTGAGCTGAAGTGCTGGAGAAGAGTATTGCGAATACCATGGACTGCTAGGAAAACAAACAGATTTGTCTTGGAAAGAGTTAAACCGGGTGGCTCCTTGGAGCCAAGGATTCTGAGGCTCCGTCAACATAGCAAAAGTATATGAGAAGATGTTTCACCGTTTTTGCCTGTAAAGAACATTGTGGTTTCACTTACTTCAAGAAAGAGTTGTTTGTCCTTTTGGCAGGCCATGTGACATTTGGTACTCTTCTCCAACACTGCAATTCAAAGGCATCAACTTTTCTTCTGTTATTCAACACAATTTTAAGAAGCCTTTGTAAGAATTAGAATGGAAAAGGATGTATGTGCTATTGTAGAGGTAGTGGGGTGAAAATATTATTCAAAAGTGAACTTAAAAATGTTTCCCTAGTCAAATTGGTTCAAGGGGGGGGGAAAGACCAACCTAGCAAGTATGGATCTGTCTGTATACCTAGCTATCTGAGTGTGTGGTTTAGTACTTTGAGAAAGTTAGTTTTAAAAAATGAAATCAAATTATCAGCATTAAAAATCACAACGTAGTAAATTCTTTTTTAAAAATATTGATATATTGATGCTTATTTCAATAATGTTTTAGTCTTTTTTATAAGAATTCATCCTGTATATCTTGGTTCATTTGTTTTATAGGTAACAAAAGTAGAATTTAAACATATGTCAACTACCATATAAACCAAATATATGAGATTTATGTTAAAATTTGGGAGATTATGAGTTTTAGGTTTTAAAACCTATTACTCTTCTTAGGAGAAATACAACAGAGTGCTCCTTAAAACACTTTGTCTCACATAATCTCAGCATGTTAGGGGGGACCAATAATTGGAGAAGGATATCGTGCTTGGTAAAGTAGACCCTCAAGGTGATTATTGACACAGTAACAACAATGAGCTCAAAAACTTCAGCAATTGTGAGAATGGAGCAAGATCAAGCAACATTTTATTCTATTTTACATGGGGTTTATATGAGTCAAAACTGATTAGCAGTCACTTAATTGCAGTAAGATGGCTCTGCTATGTGAGCAGCTTTAGCAAGTACAGCTTATCTCTGCTACACTTTATGGTCGGTAGAGTAGTTCCAAGCTAAGTCTTGCAGCTTTTTCAAGCTTACTTCAAGTGCTTGCTCTGGACATAATTGAATAGTTGAGAGCAAAGAATTGCTCAGTGTCCTCAGACACTCTACATACTCTATGTAGTATTAATGTGGGTTTTCCAACATGGCAGCTTCTAGGCAGCTGACTTCAGATATGTACATTCAAATGTACTTAAGATGTGTCCATGGGATCCTATTTCTTAGAAGGTGAAAAAGTCTAGTTAATCTTTAAGAAAGAGAAATTAATACTGGTAAGGATATTGGATATATTTCACAATCATCATCATATCTTTATAGTCATAATAAACTACTTCCATTCAAATAATTTCCTTAAAATATGATTTTGGAAAAATTCAAACTGAAGAAATTATTTATTTCCCCAAGTTGTATTCTGAATTTCTCATATGTGTGTGTGTATGTGTGTGT